TGATTCTATCCTGTGCATCAGGAAGGTGGTGAGAAACTGAGACAGTAAAGCTAGTCCCTGACAGCAGCAGCCGCAGCAGTGTCAGCCTGCTGGAATATTCTTGCAGTAAATGGTTTGGATCCAGTTGGGAAGTTTTAGGCAAGTTCCGCTGTGCTGTGGCAGCACAGCACTGCAAAGCCTGCCAAAGCAGTGAGGCGAATTTAGTCTGTGCCAAGCTCCCTACTGCTTAAATTTGGGTTAAATGTGTCCATATCACGGCGCAGGGTTGCCAGTTGCTTTGCCTGATGAGGAAACCTGCAGTGACATCCTGTTCAGCTACAGCCCTGGCTTGGCAGCTGGTTTGGTTCATCAGAACAGGCAGTCATCTTTACTGTTTTAACAGGATAAATCACTAGGAATAATGACTTCCCATTTTCTCAGGACCTTCCGTAACTATAATATGTCTGTGGAGAAGAGATGCACACGTACACCTTCTCTCTCCTTGGGGGACAGTACAAGGAGCAACTGCAAACCCTTCAGTGCCAGTTGTCTCTCATACTGAGGCTTTAGATCAAAGTCCTATTTCTTCTGACTTTGGGTGTAACATTCTCCTTGTTCAGCTGGGTTCAAAGCTCTTGTAGTGAGGAAACACCCTGCTGAAATGGCTGGTGATGAAGGTGTTTGTTTACATTGTGTCCTACCTGCTAGAGTGTCCTGGCATTTAGCTTAGGCCAGAAATAAATTAAATAAGCCTCTGGCATTTTGTCTAATTGCCTTGGCTTCGTGATTCAAGTGATGTGGGTTTCTTTGTTTTTTTTTTCTTCACACACAGCAAGTAATGAAATTGGCCAGTGAGACAGGTAGGCTTGGAGATGTTTCTGTGCCAGAATTTACGTAATCTGTTTGCATTACAGCCTGGCTGTGTGTTTGTCAAGCCTGTAGAATGAGGATACATCATGCTTATGTCATGTGTATGCCCCAAGGAGTTTTACTGACCTGTACCTTACAGGCAAAGCTCATGCCGAAATGGCAGGGTTCAGTGCTATTCCTGCTTCAGGCCTCTAAAGCATTACTCTGAATGATCCCAAATAAAATTTGTGAAGGCTTTAGTGAACTTTAGGAAAATTCCAACTACTCTAGATAGACACCACGTTTGCATCTCATTACAGCACTAATTACAGGTGAATATTTCCTGTGTTAAGCCATAACGCTTTCCTCATTCAGTTCAACTGTCTTCATATCCTCCATGAACTGCAGAGGAGTTGAACACTCCAGGTTTTTCTCGTTCTGCCTCCACCCTCTCTGAATTCAGGACTCTTGTCTGACCTCCTAATCCACTCCTTCAGCCTTGTTGGCACAGGTTGTTGCTTAGCTGCTCACCTGCTGGAAACATTTGCATTTTAACCGCCTACCAGCATGCTTCGATGAGCCCTGCGGGGAGTACGTACATCACAGGATCCCCGCACTGTACCTCTTTAAGCTTTTCTTAGGCACTTTTGGTAAATAGCAGTTGTTGATCAGAGCTCAAATAGAATTACTCACGGTCTAGAAACGGAGGTTATTTCTGATGCTTTTTGCTCATGTTCCCTTTCTGTAGGGCGGTTGTGCCAGTCCAACTTCCCGTGTGCTGGAGCGGCAGCGTGCCCTGCTGTGGAGTCAGACGTGCTCTATAACGGGTACCCAGAGGAAGCGGGGGTTAGAGATAGGCTCTCACTGTGGAAACCTTTGGTGCTGCTGATACCTCTCCGCCTTGGGCTCACAGAGATCAATGAAGCCTATATTGAAACACTAAAGGTAGGGGATCTGGAGCTGAATTCTTGGTGTTCTGATGCTTAAGGACCCGGTTGTGAATTCAGTAATTTCTGGATTTTGGTTTTGGGGCAAAAATACGCAGAAATAGTTGTCCTATTTTCAAAAGAAGGATGTGTTCAGAGGTTAGGATATGGGTTCTTGCAGGCTTTGGACAGGAAAACATGTAGGCCTTTTGAGGGGTTGTGGATTTTGGTGTTTGGGGGGTTTTCTTTAGGATCTTACTTCACACTCTAGTCTGGATCCCTCTGTGAGTTGAGCAGGTACCAACCTGCTGAAGGGTTGGTTCAGTACAACTGTACTGTGCTTTGTGGCAACCAAGCATTAATGAAAGTAGTATTACAAACTCCCTGTGGCTTGGATGCTGGAGCTTGAGGCTACAATTTGGCTGATGGTTGCAGCGAGGAGTATCAGGAGGCTGCAGAACTTAGGGTGCTAGAAAGCTCTGAGCTGCACGGGAAAGAGCTCCAAATTCACACAAAGGTACTTGCCCTTAACTAAGTAGAAGTTACCTGACTACTGCAGCTGGATAAGGAACTTAAACTGTTTCCTGAATGATCGTTTCCTCCTGAAAGCACTCTTGCAACCTGATGACAACTCCAGGGTATCTTACCACGGACTGCAGCAGAGTCAGGATTCACCTGGACCGGGTCCTGGAGTAGCACTGCTTCTTCCATTTGGTCCGCCTGTGTGTTCCTGTCAGCAGTTGAAGGTGTTTTTGAGCTGCTTCTGTGTGCCTTGAAGGCCCTGTGTTGCAGCCTTCAGCCTTCCTGGCAGATGAAATGGCCGTTTCTGCTGCTTTTCAGTGTCCCCGCCTTTCTTCCCCACTGCATTTTTGGATGTATGCCGTTGTTGCCACCTGCTGTCTCACTGTCTGTCAGCTGTGTGTTTTCTGTATTGCTTTTCCAGCACTGCTTCATGATGCCCCAGTCCCTGGGAGTGATCGGAGGGAAACCAAACAGTGCACACTACTTCATTGGCTATGTAGGTGAGTGCCCAGAGTACCGCAGAGACTTTCCAAGCATCTCCCCCCAGCTGACAATGCCTGTGGAGCGGTACAGCCCTCCTGCTTGGTCTGTGGTGCATGCTGCAGGGTGGTTCTTTCCTGCTGGAAGCATGGAAGGCTGCTGTGGACCGAGGCTCTGTGGGAGGACCTGAGTCCATAGTACGGCCTGTAAACTTGCACTGCATAATGCTAAGTCCTGTCTGCAGGAGAGTGCACAGAGACTTCTTTCTGCATTCAGAGTTCAGCTCCCTTTAGGGGCTTGGTTGGATTTAACTGTCCTTTACTTGTCCCCTTCCTGAAACTCTACAAACTGTTGTCATGTGACTCTCCTCCTTCCCTCTGATTCTCTCTGCCTGAGACCTCAGTCTGGTTGTGCTTTGGATTTCTGGGGCCGACTTGAGCTTACACAGGACCCTGGAAGGCACGTGCGGGAACAGTATCCACATAGCACCCGTGCCTCCAGCCTAGGGTGTCGCTGTGGAGTGGGCGCTGTGGTTCTGCTGGCAGCCTGGCTGAGAAGCATTTGGGAAAGTGCCTGAAAGTTGCCCCTGCAGAATGTGGGTTCCTGTGTGGGGTTTTGAGAGCTGGCTCTGTCGTTGCTTTTCCTCCTCTTTGTATCTCACTGTTTGCTTCTCAGAAGAGCAGTTTCTGGCATGGTTCCTCCTCTTCATGTCTCCTTGCCTGTCTGTCCAGGTGAGGAACTCATTTACCTGGATCCCCACACGACGCAGCCTGCCGTGGAGCCCAGTGACAGCGGCTGTCTCCCCGATGAAAGCTTCCACTGCCAGCACCCTCCCTGCCGAATGAGCATTGCCGAGCTCGACCCCTCCATCGCGGTGGTGCGTTCCTGCTTCTTCCCCATCGCCCAAAGGAGCAGTGTTGTGTCCCCATTTCACAGCTCTTCCTTCCCCCCAGGAAAGGCAGTGGCGATGGGCTTGGGTGCTCTGCAGGCAGGCTGTGCTCGGGGCAAGTGCTGCTGTGGGTCTCAGTAATGTTCCTGCTCATGCAGGAAGTGGTTTGGTACAGGGAAGCCCCCCTTTGCATGGCAGTTAAATGCCATTCCTCATGGGGCAGTATCTTTCTCTCGGGTTTAGTTTGGGCTTTGATTCCTGCCTTTTGATGGGCAGATCTGGATCCATATTATGATTGCATGGCTCGTTTTCTGTTGCCCCCAAGATGCCTGCCCTTTGTTTCCATGAGGGCTGTTTCTGTCCAGTTTCCCTTCTGCGGTAGAGCAGACCGTTACACTGATGCTTCCAGCACCTGGATAGCCTGGTCCCATCAAGCATTTGGGGAGCGTTCTGTTTAACGGGGCAGCCTGAGCCACAGTTTAAAGCAAGGCAGTTAGGTGTAACGGCTCGCAGTCCTCGTCACGTTGCTCGGCGTTACTACGAGGCCTTAAGGCTGAAATGATCGATCTAGAACACCAAGATAAATTATTTTTTTCTTTTCCCCCAGGGCTTTTTCTGCAACGCAGAGGAGGACTTCAATGATTGGTGCCAGCAAATCAAAAAGGTTTGTTTTTGTTTCACTGGGAAAGGAATATATGGTATTGTCTTGTTTCCAAACTGCTGCGCAGAGACCGTGTTCTCTGCAGCATGATCCCATTTTAAAGCATATGAAAGCATTATTAAACTACCAAATGAGCATAGCTCTGAAATTCTGCTGCTTATGTGAGCCAAAGATTTGAGAGATTTTGGGTTTTTTTCAGCTGCAGTGAAGTCCCAACAGGCCATTATCATAGAATCACAGAATGGTTTGGGTTGGAAGGGACCTTAAAGATCATCC